TATGCACAATTATGGAAGTCCTGAATAGAAGAGGGGCTTTGCCATGTTGTAAATATATATATATACATTCAACATCCCAAAGTCTCAACATGTTTTGAACATTAGTATTTTTATGAATGCCTCTGAGTATAGACATTCCTCGGTTACTCGTTCGATGCTCATGCTGTTGATCACTGGATTGTCTGGTCCAGACTCGATTATTTACAGATCGCCGCCATATAGCTGGAATATTGCTGAGTGCGGCGTTAAACTTTACTCACTCACTCGGTTACTCGTCGTTCGAGGCACGTGCTTTTCAAGCAAAAGATTGTGAGAATCGTTATGCAATATTGGATACATATTGGTTCCATTTCTCGTGTGCATTATTTGGAATAACCGGATATCAGTACTTTTTGTTGCATTACACGCATGTGATAATGTTCAAATGTCAATTTGAAGAAATTAATTCTTCCTGCATATGTGCATCCTTTCAAGACCTAACCTTCTGTGAACACCTGGCATCTCCGCTCATTTTCAGGAAACAATACCATTACGTAATATTATACTAATTCAAACTTGGTAAAGTATCAGGTTTTCGTGATGTAGAAAAAACATCAAACAAATGAAAATTGAAATATCCAGGTGCTCATTTGGGTGACGCTTCACAGGATTTCAGTTTAATGATTAACAGGGTATCCACCCATTAATTACACGTGTCACTAGTTACACACCCTTATACAAACAACTTTACAGATGATTGCACATCTAATCTCCTTCCTATTACCCTGAGATTGGAATGGAATGACCCACACTTGTGTGTGACAAATAAGACAAAGCACTATAAGCACTGGACTAAGATTTATCAATATATTTCCAACAATGTGGACAAACCATATTGCATTCGAGAATAAGACAACATAAGAAAAAAAGTAAAAGTTAGGTCTAATAAATTCAAATAAAATGCTGAACAGCCTTGTTGATTGTTTATTTTTTCATGTTAAAAGGCAGAATGGGCCTAAAATTGGGTCCAACAAAAGAGTTGGTGTTGTATAAAAAGGATGACGCTGATTGCTGTGCTATACATTGCTGTATATAAATAGTTTCACTCCCAATTCTAATAGCATTGTTGTATCAAATAGATTCTGACATTATCTCTTCATCACTTCTGTATTCACCGTTATCACAGCACTACAAGTATGCTGACCACGAGGAGAGTACCTCCTTCCAAAACCTATTATGAGTGTGAGGAGTAATCTTCTCTATAATATAAATGGGATCTGCTAAATAAAGTACATTCAAATCTATTTGATCAGTTTTACCCTTCCGAGGGTATTAATGTTCTTTTCGTCCACGCTGCCATTTCTTTTTCAATTTTCTCAACATTTTTGTTATAATTCAATTTGTCATATTATGTAAACCAACATCAAATTCTATACCAAGTAGTTTAAACTAAGTCTGTAACCAGTCCATTTTCCACTCTTTACAGAGGTTATACCTTGTTCTCTTTTTTGACCCAATCCAAATCAGTTTTGTTTTTTTTCAGCATTAAGTTATAATACAGAAAATATCGCAAAAGAAGGTCAAAAGTTCAATGTTGCGTAGAATTTTTTTTCTGACCCTCTTGAGTAAGTGTAGTATCATCTGCAAATGGGCGAGAAGAGATAGAATTTTTTCCAATTTGTATACCATGTATATTTACATTACTTCTGATCATGTTTGCTAGTATCTCTGCACACAGTATAAATATATATTGTGATATTTGAAAAATTGTAAAGAGTAAAGAGTTTTGTGTTGTATGTAATTTGTATCTTTGTATGTAATTTGTATCTTTGTATGTAATTTGTATCTTTGTATGTAATTTGTATCTAAAGCTAATGAAAGAGATAATCTCGCATTGAGTGGAATAACATGTGAATTGTATGAAGGGAGTTGGCTAGGGTGGTATTCCTTCAGCTATGGAAGAGTCTATTAAGGCCGTTGGTATTGTTCTAATCTGACTGTGTAACAATTTTTCGAACTGTGTAACTAATGGCACGTGTAACTAATGGGAGACAACCATTAACAGAGGCAGCCAGACAAATTACACTGTGCACAAGGTGCTTGAAAACGTATGTTTTGATATATTGTGACAAAATCGTTGGACCATTTCAACAATACAACATATTAGGACTATTAGGATGTTTATGTTTGTTGACATTTTTTGCAGTGTATCTGTGGCACAACATGTGATTTAAATATGAATTTGAGATAAAATGTTTTAAGTTGTCGTGATTTAAGCATTGCCCATTGTACGCATCTAATTATAGCATCAATGAGTGTGCGCATGTTTGCGGAAAAGTAATCGTAGTCTACACGCACGCACGCACGCACGCACGCACGCACGCACGCACGCACGCACACACACACACACACACACACACACACACACCCCCACCACCCTGACAGAAGCATGACATGTTACATCTGGCAAGTCTGGATCCAAAGTATTGAAAGTAAATGTGCCTCGTTGAATGTAGGAGGCGCTTTTTAAAACCTTAATTCTAGTCTTATTTGTATTTGTATTTGCAAAAAATGAAAATAAACAAAATTACAGGCGTAAAAGATTAAAAGCTTCTACCACGCGAAAACAGCCATTTAAAAATCAAAAAGACGAATCAGATTTAAGTCAACTACAAACACCTCGGATAAATAAAGGTGCATGTATGTAATCAATTTTATAATATTCCAGTAAAGCAATGTTGTTGTTGGTTTTTAAACTATTGTAAGTTACGTAGAAAGATTCGCTCTTTCTCATTATAGCGCAAAATGTACACTGTCACTTACTGTTTTGTGTGTTTATCATGCGCCACCTCTTAACACTTTACATAGACTTTACATCGAACTCACGAGTAGTGACTTTCTAATAGGAAAATACAGTTGTTGAGTTCTTTAGCCCTTGTTTGTCCATTTTTAAAAAACACGTTAAGGTACGTGTGACTCTACGCGGCTGGGCATGACAAAAACGGTTGGCTCTTTGGTTCGTTGTTTAGCGCCACACTCAGCAATATTCCAGCTATATGGTGGTGGTCTGTTAGTCGCCTCTTAGGACAAGCATGGGTTACTGAAGATCAGTTCTAACCCGGGTGTTTGGCGTGACGGGCGAACGCTTCTACCACTAGGCTACCCCACCGCCGTCCTCACGTATGAACAATGTGGGAAGACCATTTCTGGAATCACCCGCCCCGATATTGTTGGAACAATGCTAAGAGCGGAGTAAGACCAGCGTCAAACCAACGTCAAACCAGCGTCAAACCAACGTCAAACTAACGTCAAACCAGCGTCAAACCAGCGTCAAACCAACGTCAAACCAGCGTCAAGCCAGCGTCAAACCAACGTCAAACCAGCGTCAAACCAGCGTCAAACTCACTGCAACAGTCTCTGCTATGCATATGTCAGTTGTGAAGATAACACAGTGAATGTGATCCTGGGTTCGAACCTGAGACTCGCCCTATACGTTTTCAATTGTCAGCACCAGGAACTACCGCCTGGATTTAAACAACGCGGTACATATCTGAGACATGTATCACTTCCGGGTTTCCTCCCTCGCGTGTTTTACAGGATGTAATAACTGAAATCCTGATTGCAACGGCGTTATCCCAGACGAAATGGTTATAACAGTTATATCACTGTTCAGCTTAAAGTAACGAAGGTGGTAGACGATACCCACTTAGATAAAGCTGCCAACACTTGACGTTTGCAAAGGATATTAAACGTGTCGAAACCAGGATTAGATACCCGTGAAGATCCGGGTTATAATTGGTCTTCAGCAACCCATTCTTGTCGTAAGAGGCGACTAACGGGATCGGGTGGTCAGGCTCGTACACTTGGTTGACACATGTCATTGCTTCCTAAATGCGTAGATCGATGCTCATGACGTATATCACTGGATTGTCTGGACCAGACTCGATTATTTACAGACCACCACCATATAGCTGGAATATTGCTGAGTGCGGCGTTAAACAACAAACCAACCAACTGACGATGAATGTGTAGCACGCAGTAAAATAGGTAATGTTCACACATTGAAAGATATGTTTGTCAACGATAGTTATCAAACAAGACCATCTGTGACAGTGTAGCTTTATCGATGATCAAGCCATATAGTGAAATCGTTTGCCCGTCACGCAGATGGTACGGTTACGAATCCACACAAATATATATGGCGGTGTTTCTAAAGGGAAAAGTAAAATGCAAAAACGATGTTTATAGAAGTTCGGAGAAATATGCACTCTTCAAACATAGGAAAACTCTATGTTTTAACTGTGTGCTATTTAATGTGCATATTTCATTTCCTTTAATTAATGCGAGGATGTAACTGAGGGTGGTTTTGTTCTGTAGATATAATAGCAGCCATGATTGTCCTACCACAAGACACGTACGTCTATGAAGGGGGAGTTCCTGATGTGATCACCACGTGCTGCTCTGTACCTCCTTGGCACAGACTGAATAAGGCGGAACTCCATTCAAACTGAAGTATTTAACCAGCGAAGGTTAGAATTGTCTTCAGCAAACCATGCATGTCGTAAGACGCGACCAGCGGCATCGGGTGGTCAGGCTCGCTGACTTGGTTGACACATGTTATCGGTTCCCCATTGCGCAAATCGATGCTCATGTTGTTGTTCACTGGATTGTCTGGTCTCGATTACTTACAGACCACCGCTATATACCTGGAATGCTGCCGAGTGCGGCGTTAAACAACAAACCAAACAAACCAACTGTAGTATTCGCTATTAATTAATCATTTTAGTTTAGTTAATTAATTTAGTATATTATAAACAATTTTCCCCTTAAATATATCGATAGTTTATAATACGTGTTACAGTGACAACCGTTTCACCTTTCCAGCAGCCTCTACCAGCAGCCTCTACCAGCAACCTCTACCAGCAGCCTCTACCAGCAGCCTCTACCAGCAGCCTCTACCAGCAACCTCTACCAGCAGCCTCTACCAGCAGCAGTCAGACGCCCCGACAACCTGTTGACAAATGATGGCGTATGTACTGGCGTACGGATAGGTAGAATAATAGTCCAGGCGAGAAAACGCTAACGGCTGATGCCATCTGGTACTCTCCGTATTTGAACACCTTCCGATCATTGGACTAATAACACAAACCAGGATGAATGATGAGCTTTGATAGTTTCATCCGAAACAGAAGTAATAGGGGCCTGACTTATGAAACCTTGGACTCTGTTGTATGTAAGTTAATGTGTATAATTAGAGGTATTGTATAACATGAGACCACCAAGGTGTTATGGATGCCGACTGCCAAGGTTAACGCTGTTGGGGCTGATTTGTTTGACGGTATGGATATTTACTTTATTCATCTTTAGACAAGCTTGGATGTCCTACCTACCATTTGTCAACCCGTTTACCTACACACACACCTGGGTCTCAGACACCGCTTCCGGGACACCAGTAACACCTGTATACGTCGTTGAGGAGCATCACGAAGGTGAGTGGCCAAAGGGAAGTTTAGTCTTGTAGCATGTACAATATCGTATATTTAGGCTCGTCACGCTGAAGGCCTGGGTTCGAATCCCCACATGGGTACAATGAGTGAAGCCCATTTCTGGTGTCCCCCGCCGTGATATTGCTGGAATATTGCTAAAAGCGGCGTAAAACCAAACTCAGCCAGTCAGTCAGTATATTTAGGGTTACACTTTCTCAGTACAGATTCTGGTCAAAGAAAATGGTTTCAGAACTAAAGGTGTTTAACGCTGCCCTTAACAAAATATTAGTCTTATGGCATGTACACATCTTATATTTAGGAGCCTAGTGGTTAAAACGTTCGCTCGTTACGCCGAACACCTGGGTTCGATTCCCCACATGGGGACAATATGTGAAGCCCATTTCTGGTGTCCTGCGCCGTGATATTGCTGGAATATTGCTAAAAGTGGCGTGAAACCATACCCATCCACTCACTCACTCATCTTATATTTAGGATTACATTTTCTCAGTAATTATGATCTTGTTTGAGTTAAAATGAATAAATCACTGGAAATCAGCTGTAACACCAAGTGTCATCTGGTTCTGATCTACCTGCACCAACTGCTACTCTTACATAAAAGAAAACCTTATGATATTTACATACATACACCATACACCTTACGGGATTGTTATCGCTATTATTTGCTGAAGCCAACATGCCATGCTCCACCGGCAGCGGGGGCAGTGAGGTAGCCTAGTGGTTAAAGCGTTCACCCGTCACGCCGAAGACCCGGGTTCGATTCCGCACATGAGTACAATGTGTGAAACCCATTTTTGGTGTCCCATGGCGTGATATTACTGGAATATTGCTAATAGCGGCGTAAAATCATACTCATTCACTCCACCGGAAGCACACACTGCCTTTTCTAGACAAAAACAGAGTTAGTTGCTTAACACTGCGCAGACACACACCTTGACCAGATAATCCAGTGCTTGACCACACAACCCCGAGCACGAGTGCGCCTTTTTACTTATGTTGTTGAAACAAAAAACGATATGTTAATTTTGAATGGCATGCAGCGATAGCAAACGTGAGTGAGTGAGTGTGGTTTTACGCCGCTTTTAGCAATATTCCAGCAATAGCAGGGTGGGGGACACCAGAAATGGGCTTCACACATTGTGCCCATGTGGGGAATCGAACCCGGGTCTTCAGCGTCACGAGCGAATGCTTTAACCACTAGGCTATCCCTCCGCCCCTGATAGCAAAAGACGACCAGGTAACAACTGTGTACAACTTCCGTAAAACGTGTTACAGGTCTGTCAAGTTGTATAATCCTGTTATGTTTCAACCACTACAAGACGATCCTGGATCACGAAAGGGGGGCAAATCTGTCTAGACAACCTATATAAATGACAAAATTGAATTCTTTATCCTTTCTTAATTCGTTTATTTATGTTTCAGTCTTTATTTTATCAATCAAATTGAACATTAAATCTGTTTTTTGCAAGCGATTGAAAGATTAATTGGACGTGGTTTTCATCACTCTTCTTCTGTTTATAAACAGCACTATTGTACTGGTACAAGGCAGCAGAGAAGGGTTTAATCAAACCACAGGGAAACGTTCTTGTAAGTAGCTGTTATAAAAGCCATATAACCTTTGTTATAAAACCTTCCCATAACAACGAAACTTTGCTCAAAGCAGAATCCATGGTCAATCTCCACTGTATCGTGGTCATGAGTCGCTAGTAAAGCCACCAGGTGCTCGCTAAGAAAGGTGAATAGCTTTTGAATAGCTTTCTGGTGAGAATGACCAGTAACGTATGTCATATCGACCATAAACAATCCATCTACCCCATTGGCTTTATGTCGTTTTCATGAAATGTGATTGCCTCCTCACTTTAACTATGAACATCCTATCTTTGACACTGGCGTTATGTCTGTTTCAAGATTGATGACTGCCCGATCACTTTGCAACATTTCAACTATAAACATCCCACACACCACATTGGCTATATTTGCTTCATGAAAGATGATTCCTCTCATGGTTTTAATGATGATGCTACCATCATGTCTTTCATCTAGCTTCATATCGACGGCCACTCTGATGGCGCTCCCCCGGAGCAACGTGATATCATTCCAAAGTTCCGACGGCCGACAACGCGCGAGGTCTACAACATGATGCAGAAAAACGACGTCTTTATCATCGTGAGTGTACTTTACATTGCCCTCGCTCCAACCCGTTTCTGGAGGCAATCTTAGTGCTAAGATGATCGTAAGTCACATATCTTATGATAGGTTTACGATCATCGTAGATAAAAACGCTTCGTGGAACAGGACTACATGAACTATGTGGTCTAATTTGCCGCAATTCGTTGAGCAAAACCTGAATCCCTTGGCCGTCTCTGAACTGTAGTTTGAATCGCCCTGAATCGCTTTGATGACGCCCCGCAAGCATCAAGAAGGCACGCACTCACGCAGGCAGGCACTCACGCAGGCAGGCAGGCACACACACACACACACGGATCCTGAACCATAAGTAAGGGACACAACTCAGCTTCGCGTGGGGTCGCAGACCACGAAAAATGAATTGTATACATTTATATACAATGTACACCCATCTCCATACAATCGGGCATATTAATATGCCTCAGTTTGGGTTTTCCTTCCATGCGAAGCTGAACGGTGTGATTTACTCGTATGATTGTGGCGGAGCGAGTCGAAGATTTACGAATTAGTTACGTCGATTCCATTTCAGGCTGCAGCTTTCACAGGCCTCATCAAACGCTACATCTGGGTGTGGTCACCATGGGACAAAGACCAAGGGTTACCCGATCACATTGCAATACCGCTTAAACTTGGAACAGTGAAAAGGAATGTAGACGGTAAGATGATTGAGGACATCTGTGGCTGTCCTATCCTGGAATCTGATGAGTTGGGCGGCCTAAAAGACGAACAGTGTTTGGTGGCAGACAGCTCTCGTTTCGAGTCTCCCTATGTGGAGATGGACGCGGGGAAATGTAACATACAGGTAGAAGATGCAATGATGGAAGTAGTGTCGGAGACCAAGGCGATAGAACTAATGAAAACCGGTAATTGGATTACCTCCCTTGATAGCGTCATCCTTGACATTGATGAGGACTATTATGGATGCGAGGCTGCGGTTCAGCCTCTGTATGATGTAGGCGTAACAGATATACAATTCGGATGGATAGCGATCCTTGTAAGTAAATTATTCTGCCCTGCCCTCCCAAGACAAGAGCTCGAGGCTGACAAATTCTTTGCGGACATTCTCGACAGGACAATAATAATGAAACAGTTCTGTCAACAAAACAATGACAACTTTTGTAAGAAGAAATCCGAAATGAAGAAATACATCTTAACGTCCTTTACAGATTCTATCGACGTCAAAAGTAACCTACAATTGAAACCCGTACTATGTAAATCGGCCGCTGTTTCACAGAAAGCTGTAGAATCTCTTATTAAACATTTTGTCAGATATAACATTCATCAGCTAAAAGCCATGAAAGAGATCGGAATATGTTTCTCCGTGTCCCCGCGAACGCTTGCCTTTGACCCGTCAGTGGGCATGCGAACATGCGATGGATTCAACAGACCCAACGAAACCGTTGTTCCGTTCCACACGCCTACGGCAGGAGGTAAGCTTCAGGACCAGCCAGCTGAAGGTGATGCTCAGTTCGGCGGAGATTCAACCAGGTGTGGTCACTGTGTGTCGTTCTATGAGGGACGGCTACACACCGAGGAAGTATTTCCGCGTCATAGAACAAGATGTCCTAGGTGTGTTGAAGGACGTGTTTGCTTCTGTCGATGACACCTCTATATTTTACGACCCATATCTTCTGGGCGGGACATTCGGATGGCCAAACAGACATTAGAAGTGCGTTAGAGCAAATGAAATGTGTACATGTTCGTCGAGCCGATATAATAATTTAAGTTCGGAAAATGCAATATATGTTGTGTTTAGTCAAGACGTAAAAGACATTAGATAATAATTTTAGTCAAGCAAACATGAACTGATACACATTTATTGAGTGGTCACTGTGTGTAATGACATGTGTGTTTTGAAAGAAACCATAAATTTGTGAAATTGCACTTTAATGTGTGTTATAGTTTTCGAGTCTTAAGTCACATGTTGTAAGCAGCTGAAGTTAAACTGACGGCCAAGAGAAACTTTCCTCAGATTTATATTATCTTATTTAAAACAACAACAACGAAAGATACATGCAAAATGTATTAAAAAATCAAAATGTCTATGTAATCAGCATTTAGAACGACAGGTTTACAGCCAGTGTTGGGTGATGCGTGGCATTCAGTTGTGTTATTTTTATATCTTGATTTCACGTGTTGTTTGGTTTCCTAAGAAGCATTGTTTTTCACTTTTTCGCATTTGTACAAACAATCCTTTAAACCAAACAGTGTAAAAGCAAATATTAAAATCGTTCCGCGGACGTGTTTCACTTTCTGCAAAGACAACAGTATGTTTTTCATTAAGTTTGAACTTGTGTTAAATTTTGTACTTGGGTTTACTTCCCTCGAAACGAAGCAGCCGGGATACCGAACCCAGTCAGAGCGGGTGGGTGTGCACTTTAAATATTTGAAATTTTCATTTCTAGAAAGTAAAATTATGTTATTTTGGCCGTGAGTTTATTCATATACAAATTACACTCATTACATTAAGTAGGTGAGTGCGTGGGCAGTATGGAATATTGTTTGCAGGTGCCGCTTTATAACGCAATATTCCAGCAATATCACGGTAAGAAGACCGTGTGGTGGGACACCACATATTAAAAGGGCTTCACACATTGTACCTCACCAGACAGCCCGCTTCCAAGGTCTTCGGTGTGACGAGCGAACGACGTTTAACCACTAGGCTATTTGCATTTTTGATGATTTGTTTCCCACCGCCCTTCACCTACATTGAACGGTATCCAAGACCTAAGTCGTGGATTTTCCCAAGCGTGGCCTTTTTAATTTATTGATGCATATTAATTTACATGCTTTGTGAGATTGACATCCAGATTTGCTTGTTTGTGCCTGTCGTGATGATTTACAGTGTAATGGTTTGATACGAGTGAAACATCCTCGTTTCATTAGGTGCAAGCGAGAATCATTGAATGTGTGATTGCGGGCCAGATGTACACAATATGTCAACGTTGAATGCGTGTCGACCATGACACGGCAACACCCTCAGGTTGAGGTGGTAAAACCCATTACCTGAGCAACCTGTTGCTTCGTGGTGGACTGCTCGTCTCCAGTGTAACCACTGTCAATTTGTCCCTAACTGACACTATACACGCACAAATCAAGGTTCAATCTGTAAGGTTCATTAGCAGCTTACTATCCTTGTTGGTCAATCTTGGGAGGAACGTGTCTGTGATCCGAAAAGTTATGAATGTAATACAATGTCGCGTTCTGCGGAGTGTCGAGGTGGGTGTTGTCATTGCGGTCCTCTCCGCAGCGTCCTTGTACATCATGTGGCAGGCGGTTGGGTCATGCAACCGCACCCTTGCCCCCATCCTTACCCCTTGCACAATGGACCTTGACCCAACAGCATCTGCAGTGGTAGTGTCGGAGGAAGGTATCATCCCCGTGTTGGAAGGGTCGGAGGAAGGTATCATCCCCGCGTTGGAAGGGTCGGAAGAAGGTATCACCCCTGTATACGTGGTGGAAGAACATCACGAAGGTAGGTCAAAATTACTGGTTCAATTTGCAAACTAACTGGTTTTAAACAGGATACCGTAACTCTTTCGTGAACACTTGTTATTTATAGTGACTAATTATCAATGGCACCCGTGGACATCTGGGTTAGAAATGATCATCAGTAACTCATGCTTGTCGTAAGAGGCGATTAACGGGATCGGGTGGTCAGGCTTGCTGACTTGGTTGACACATGCCATCGGTTCCCAATTGCGCAGATCGATGCTCATGCTGTTGATCCCTGGATTGTCTGGTCCAGACTCGATTATTTACAGACCGCCGCCATATAGCTGGAATATTGAACAACAAACAAACAAAATCATTATCGATAAAAACAGTTTCCATAGTACTGAAACCATCTGCAAACGGCAGACTCCACTGTGCGACTCCGACTATAGACTATTCCATTCTTTATTCCAGCCATGTAAAGAGTCAATGTTGGCAGCATGATGATAGTGCCAGTGTCAGTTTGACACCTTCTTCGGGAACTGGTCAGAGACTTATAATTGTTCATTGAGGTTCTAAGGATGGTTTTGTGCCCAATGCCCTGTTAATATTCAAAGCCAAGCAGAAGTCTGGAGACTATCACGATGAAATGAACTTTGAATTTTTTTCCAAATGGCTGCGAGAAAAACTGATACCAAACCTTCCCTCAAGATCGGTCGTTGTTATGGACAATGCACCTTACCACAGTAAGATTATCGATAAATGCCCCACAACTGCTAACAGAAAGGGAGAAATACAAGTATGTTATGCTTAAGTTATGGTTGAGCATTGGGTTCGAGACTCTTTTTTTGTGGGTTCGACTTTTATTGAGGGTTTTAGATAAAAACACGTTAAACCAATATTACCTTAAGCATTGATAATGATTTCATAAACTTGATAAATGTGGGGTTCACTCCTTAATATCATCTCAGAGTCAACATCATAATACTTCCTATTTAATTTCTTTTAAAAGTAACAGTAAAAATAACATTACGAACAACTAACGTTTCATGTTCACAATGGAAATAAATCGAGTTCTCTTCTAACAGGAATGGCTGCAGAGGCGAAACATTGCGTTTACGCCAAACATGTTCAAAGCAGAGTTATTGTCACTTGCGAAAACAAGTAACGCAGAACAGCTATATCATGTGGACCTTATTCTCATGGAACACGGTCACACAGGAATCAGGCTACCTCCATACCACGCAGATCTAAACCCAATCGAACTTATATGGTCGAATGTGAAAAACTTTGTAGCTGCCAAAAATGTGAAGTGTACTATTACCGATGTTAGGAAATTCGCTGAGAAGAGGTTTCTTGAAATTGGTGTAAACGAGTGGACTGATTGCTGTGCCCATGTTGAACAATTGGAAGGCGACTACTGGGACAGAAATATTGCAGTTGAACATGAAATAGAAAAAGTGACAATTGAACTGGGTGGAGAGAGTGATAGCGAGAGTGAATCGGATTCTGAAAGTAACTGACTTTACGTTGTAAATTTAGTAAATCAAACTAGATAGCATATGACTGTCAAAACAATTCAATTAAAACATGAAATGATTGTTTTTTCAGAATTGTTGTTTTCCGGGACAAGTTCTGTAACGAATCCAATGTTTGCATGTTTCGCACGAACGCAACAATAACAACATTCTCTGCACCCCTATTTAATGAAGTTAAATAATGAACTCGACCAGCCATTTGACCTCCCGGGTCATGCTATGTAGAATTACCTACTGCCATTCTACTGTGAACTGATAATATAATTCCTTGCAACAATTTGTTTTGATTTTAAAACTTAGTAATTTCAAAACACAATTGTTAGTTGTGTAAGGTCACGTTGTCGTGTTTTTGTTTTAAACTTCACTTGACACAATAACATTCGAAATGTATCTCCTTTGAGGTCCGAAAATGAAAACAATACACTTGTGTTCCCGAAGAGATATTTGCATTAAATCAGGTTAGAATTTTGACGGTCGCTTTTATTCTACCCCAATGATTACTGAGTTACATTTCTGAGATTGGAATGCCCTCTAACATCATTTGTGTATAAAATGCAGTGCGCTTAAAGTGCCATCCACATGTCTACAATGAAACGTTTTGGGAAGCGTGGGATGTTGTTGACAACTTGAGCAACAATCACAGGACCTTTTTTCATCATCCCAAACTGTGTTCCACAGGAGATGTTGCTTGTGTTTGATCAAACGATATCTCCTAGGAGATACCATTTTGACAGTATATTTTGTACAATGCCCTGACAAGGTTATGACGTCATGAACTTGATGACGTCACAATGCTATGACATCGCTGCACTGCAAGTCTAATGGCAGAACGTGTTCAGAGATGTATATTTTTCATTAAAAACTAATGAAGAGTGAGCTTTGATGATAAATATAATCACACCCTCGTCTTCTGATATCAAATATATCAACACTCGTTCATAAAAGTAAAAATATCATCGGCAAGTCTCGGATATTTGTAACTTTATCAACTCGTGGTGATATATTTGATATCAATAGACACTCGGGTGAGATTCTCTATGAATCTTCGTTTAAATCGCATGTACGATTGTATGCCTAAAGCAGGGCAATGCACATGTAGTAGTCAAGGCCTGGGGCAGCTGGAATATTGTCCGGCTAAAGGGAAAGTTGACTCCGAGGGTTGCCATACAGCTGCGCCACAAAGGACGTCCAGCTGTGACCCTTTATTCCCTAATAACACATTTATTGTTTGACGTCAGTGCGCCAACTGCGCTAGAAGACTGAATTAAATTAATGATTACCTTGTAACAGTATAGGTCTTAATATCCATACAAATTGTATAAATCGGTACCTGGTAACGTAAACGTAGCTATGTGACATTACTGGGTTGGGTGTATAATATTGCCATTACATATTTGTTTATGTTTGGAGACAACAGAAGTGTAACATTCAAATAATGTTATATACATAAGTCAGACATGAGCACATGTGGTCTCGCCCACGACAAGAGAGTTTGTTCATAAATGGGCGATCCTTTTCAATTTATCTTCACTTCACTAATCTGCTGTTGTTGAGCTGATCCCGACGGTCCAACCTTAAACCGACAGTGCATGTGGTATGCGCTATGCGAGCTGCACGTGTTACCCTTACGCTTAGAGAACCAGTATAGCCTTCACCTTCACCCGTTCACGCTGGTGCATGGACAGCATATCTTTTCCCTTGAGCGACGATATGTGAAATGTTATGTCCTGAAATATTTGTTCCGTGAATCCATGGTACATATGTGATAAGTAAGATTGCTTATGTTGCAATAATGTAACACCAGATGGCCGTTCAAAGCGAGGCGATGGAATCACCTGTAGCTGATCGTTCAAACAGGTCATGTTTTGTCGTTGTTGACGTTTAGCAATCGGGATTTTTTACAATTCAAAT